ACCTGAAGGCAAACGGGAGCATGGGCAACCAAGGGAAGGTGAGTGCTACAGGGGGCTGGTAGGAAAGATGACAGAAAGCTCAAAGGCAGACTCTTGATCTTGAGGATGGGGAAGTGGACAGAGGTCAGGGAGGGAAGGAAAAAGGAGAAGTGAGGGGAATTGTCATGATGACTAGTACATGTTCCTATCCTTCAGAATGAACATCACTATTCTGTGCTACAAGCATCACTAATAAAAAATTTTGAGTAAATAAAAAGGAGGAGATGGAGCACTAATTAATAACCAGGTAGGCAGCTCCTGTGTTTCAAATTGCTAAAGAATAGATTTGAAGAATTCTTCCCTAAGAAAATGTGATAAAATGTGACATGGTGGGAATGTTAATTAGCTTGGTATAATCACTTCATAATATATACAGATATCAGTAGTTACATTCTGTAAAAATATAGCACTACTATCAATCAGTTAAAATTGAAATAAAACCCAGCTAAGCAGGAATGAATACGACAACAATTATAGAGTATTTGACGGTAATAATTAGACCAAGAAAATAGGGCTAAGCTGCCCACTAATGCCATAGTGTTTGATTTATTTTACTTATTTAAATTTTTATTAGCGAGGTATGTTTGCAATACATAATAATTGCATCCATCAAAGGAACTGATATATATATATGTATATATAGTATATTTTGATTTTTTATTCTTCATTCCCCCACCTTTTCCTCCCTTTCTACACCAACTCCCTTTTACATGACTGATTTAAAAGAAAAGCATCTTTTTTATTTTAAAGAGAAAAACAAAAATAACCTAACCATAAAATAGAGTTTTAAAACAGGTTACTAGGAGAATTACAATAATTAATACATTGCATGTTATTGTCTTCATAGTAGTTATTCAGAGTACAACATGTAGGTATGATATCTTGTTCAAACAATACTAGAACAAACCTTTCTTTTCAATGAACTATGTTGCGTATAAATATATTCTTTTGCCCCTTTTCCCTTTCCTCTTTCCTCTATCACAATTTGTCTTTTCTTTTGAACAGTTTCTTTCCAATTCACAATATCTATTTTAAATTTCAGATCTTATTTACTCATTCAGTTTCTCACACTAGTGAGACAATACAATGTTTACACATATGGGTATGACTTATTTCACTTGAGTATGGTTTTGAGTTGCACCCATTTACCTATAAAAGTCTCCTTCTCAGTGGCTTTATCCTTTATCCTTCTTGGTGGCTGAGTAGTACACCATTATATTTTAAAAGCCACATCTGTTTTATCCATTCCTTGGTTGATGGGCATTTTGGGTTATTTCAAAGATTTAGCTATTACAAATTGTGTTGCTATAAACATGGGTGCACATATATCACTGTGGTATGATGTTTTTAATTCTTCTGGAAAAATATCCAGAAGGGGAATAGCTGGGTATCAGAATGAGACCTCTAATCCTAGTTTTTAAAAGAATCTCCACACTGATTTCCACAGTGGTTGCACCAGCCTACACTCTCAAATGCAATGGAGAAGTGTTCCATTTTCCCTACAGCCCCTCCAACATTTGCTATCAGTTGATTTTTTTGATGGTAGCCATTCTTTCTGGAGTGAGATAGAATCTCAGTGTTGTTTTAATTTGCATCTCTTGAATGACCAATGATGTTGAGCATTTTTTCATGTATTTATTTTTCCATTTGTGTTTCTTCATATGAGAAATGCCTATTCATCTCAGATGCCCATTTGTGGCCTGGGTCTTTGAATTTGGAGGGTCTGATTTTTTTCAGTTACTTATATGTTCTAGATATAAATCTATTTGCCTGAGGGACAATAGGCTAAAGTTTTTTCCCACTCTGTGCATTTTTTCACTCTGTTGGTGATTTCCTTTGTTTGCAAAAGCTTTTTAGGAAGGTGAGATCCCATATTTCCCTTGCAGTCTGTATTTTGTTCATGAAGTCTCTGGCTACATTTACGTCTTCAAGATTTCTACCTATTTTCTCTTCCAGTAAATTAAGTGTTTCCATTTTAATATGTGGATCTTTGATCCATTTTGACTTTAGTTAGTGCATGGTGATAGACATGCACCTAATTTTAGTCTTGGAGAGCCAATTTTTCCTGCAGTATTTATTAAAGAGGATTTCTTTCTCCCAGTGAGCATGTTTGGCTCCTTTGTCAAAGACAAGGTGCCTGAGTGTTTTGGGGGTTGCATCTATATCTTGTGTTCTGTTCCACTGATCTTCAGACTGTTGGTTTTTTTTTTTTTTTTTTTTTTCTTTTTCTTCTTTTTCCAATACCATGCTGACTTTATCACAGTAGCTTTGTAGTATAATTTCAGGTCTGGGATTGTGGTGCTTCCTGACTTGCCTTTGCTGCCCAGAATTACTTTTGCTATTCTAGGTCTCTTCTGGTTTCAAATGAATTTTAGGAGTGTTTTCTCCATATATGTGAGGTATTCTAATGGTATTTTGATTTTGGATTGCATTAACTCTGTATAGCAGTTTTGGGAATATGGCCATTTTCACTCTATTGGTTCTTCCTATCCATAAGCAAGGGAAATCTTTCCATTTTCTGATATTCTCTTTGATCTCCTTTTTTAGGGTACTCTAATTTTCATTATACAGACTTTTTACATACTTTGTTAGATTGATTCTTAAGTATTTCATTTTTTTAGATGCTATTGTGAAGGGTGTGCTTTCCCTAATTTCTTTCTCAGTGAGTTTGCTGTTTGTGTACAAGAATGCTGATTTTTGAGTGTTGACTTTGTATCCAGCTATGCTACCGAATTTGGACATTAAATCTACAAGTTTTTTGGTGGAGTTCTTGGGGTCTTCTATGTAGAGTATCATGTCATCTGCAAATAGTGATAATTTAATTTCTTATTTTCCTATCTTTATTCCTTTTATTTTTTCTCTTTTCTGATTGCTCTGGCTAAGGAATGAAAAGTATCATATCATAGCTCATAAAAGCTACCATTGATAATGTCCTCATTTCTCTCTCTTCCTTTATTGACAAAATTGAATCTTTGAGCTTTACATGAATTGCTGGTGTTTTCTTCCTTGTTTCCACTCCCTTTTTTAGAAGAATGCTGGAAGAAACAGATCACATAACATATGAAGAATTATCACAGCCACTCCTTTCTTTAAAGTAATGTAGACATGAATTAAAGCAGCTGCATAAGGTAAGAAAATCATGCTGCCTCAGAAGAACCATGCACAGTATCTCAATTCAAGTATCCTGTAGTACATTGCCTCTCATTTTAGAGAAGTATAAAAGAAAATCCTGGAAGTCCTCCATTACTGTCCAAAAGGTTAGTGATTGTTTGCATTGCCAACAGTGTTAAGAGTGTGCATTCAAAGTCTTTGGGTTTTCGTTGCTGTGAATCTGGTTTTCCTCTCATCCCTAACTTCACGTCTCCATCCTCATGCTGCTGTTTTCATATCCCCAGTCATTTTCCTAATGTCACATCCATAGGGAACTTGCTTGATTCCTGCAATATCTGTTCTCATTGTGCACCACCTGTTCCCTTGGAAAAACACACATTTAAATAAGACTAATTATATTATTTTTAAAAGTGTGCAGATACAGACAATATTTTGTGCCTGGCTCACTCTCAGAATCTTGGACAAATATTAGTCTTCCCAACTCTTCAAGTGAAATCCAACCACTCTGATACCTCTGTACCTTTTGTAAGAGTGAAGATTATAATACTTGAATCTGTACAAGTTCTTTGAAGGATTAATGGGGGTCTATGGGAACTGAATTTGCCTTTCACCATCAGAGTATGACAGGAAGAACCGGAAGGAGAGAAAAATAACAGCATGGCAGAGTTACTTAGGGACACTTAGATGGTGAGTTGTTATCAGTATAATGTACAGAAGCATCTGATAAAAGACTGTGCTACAAAAGATTGAATGTGTAGAAGAGAGCAAACAACTGACAACAAATACATCAGTGTACTGGTGAATTTCTTCTTTATGTCCAAAGCATAACTACAAGTTGAACTATTCACTGAGTTTTATATTTGTGTATTAATATTAGCTAATGTCTCTTCAGAAGCAACATTACAAATTATAAAGTCCTGAAGCACATGGATTATAAATTGTGCTTCATAATTACAGTGTTGTCTCAGTTATAAGCATGTGAGATAATTGTAGAAACTGTTAAGGTCCTGTGGTTGGAGTATTGGCACATATTTTGTCTTCTCCAAGTGCTGCAGTATGAGTCCCCCAATTGTCACTGCAGCTAGAGACCCCTTCTTTCTCTCTTACTCAAGCCCCAAATTTTTAGATTCTGTAATAATATGCTGTCTTCAAATACAAGTATTGTTCTCATTTAACATTGCAAATGTTCCATCACTGGTTTTTCCAATCTCTTTGTCTCCTTTAGTAATCTGCTTTAGTGCACATGTGTGCACTCGTGTGTTGGGAATGCGGTATGTGTGCATGCACAAGTGTGTGTGCACTGCTGTTTGCATGCATCAGAATGTTGTACAACCTGCTAGCATAAATGAAATGATAATAGCATTTTATTATTCCTGTAGCTATAACCCATTGAAGTTAATTTTTCATATATATTAATATTTTAAAATTACTTCCAAATTGTATTTCATCATATGAGAAGTTTTCACTTATATGTGAGAATAAGACTACAGGAATTGCTTTGTCTATAACTGTAAAATTAGAAACAGCCTGAAAAGTCAAAAAGGAGAATCAGTTTAATTTGTTTAGTAAAATATATTTTCTAAAATTATTCTTTCCATCCATGAAATATTATTTCTTTCATCTATATTCTAACTCAGAGATGTATGAAAAGAAGAAAGTTACATGCTGAATTACTCACTAACAATGGAGTGAAAAATAAAAAGAAAACAATTGAAATTCTACTATCATAAAAGAACAAGTAGTACACTTGGAAGTGGTATATTTATTTTCTTCAATTTGCTTGTAAGCATTAGACAATACATGGACAACCTTTGAAGATGATGTGATCTTTTCTTCAGATATAGGGAAAAATGAATGATGATAGGAAGAAATGCTACTTCTGAAGGCTACTTCATCCTGCTGGGCTTCTCCAGGTGGCCTCACCTGGAAGCCGCTCTCTTTGTGGTGATCTTGATCTTCTACCTGGTGACACTGATGGGCAACCTGTTCATCATTGTTCTATCACACCTGGATGCCCGTCTCCACACTCCCATGTACTTCTTCCTCTCAAACCTCTCCTTCTTGGATCTCTGCTACACTACCAGCTCCATTCCCCAGTTGCTGGTGAACCTCTGGGGCCCAGAGAAGACCATCTCTTATGCTGGCTGCATGACTCAACTCTACTTTGTCCTCGCCCTGGGAACTACAGAGTGTGTCCTGTTGGCAGTGATGTCCTATGACCGCTATGCAGCTGTGTGCAGACCTTTGCACTACACTGTGCTCATGCACCCTCGTTTCTGCCACCTACTGGCTGTGACCTCTTGGGCAAGTGGCTTCACTGCCTCAGCACTTCACTCCTCCTTTACCTTCTGGGTGCCCCTGTGTAAACATCACCAAGTGGACCACTTCTTTTGTGAAGTCCCAGCACTCCTGAAGTTAGCCTGTGTTGATACTCGTGCCAATGAGCTGACTCTCATGGTCATGAGTGCGATTTTTGTTGTCATACCACTTATTCTCATCCTCAGTTCCTATGGAGCCATTGCTCAGGTTGTGCTGAGGATGTTATCAACCACTGGACTTCAGAAAGTCTTTGGGACCTGTGGAGCCCATCTTCTGGTGGTTTCCCTCTTCTTCATTCCAGTAATGTGCATGTATCTGCAGCCTCCAACAGAAAATTCTCAGGAGCAAGGCAAGTTCATTGCCCTCTTTTATACTGTGGTCACACCCAGCCTCAACCCTCTTATCTACACCCTCAGAAACAAAGACGTAAGAGGAGCAATGAGGAGACTGATGGGGTGGGAATAAGCATGTGATATGTTTTTATTATAAGATAGAAGAATGAAAACATATTAACATATACACAGACAAACAAAACAACATAAAACAATAAAAGCAATACAGACTTTCAGACAAGGTAATAAGAAATTAACAATGGTTGTTGTATTATGTATTGTTATCTTCAAATTGGTTACTCAGATAAACAAATATAGGCATGTAAGATTGATCAAACAATTAAACATTAACTATTCCTTTCAATAAACCAATAGAAATTAGTACTGCAATTATCTTAGCTATCTTGTGTATGCATACATACGTATTTTCCCTTCTTTCTTTCTTTCTTTTCTCTTTTCCCTCATCCCAGTTGTTCTATCCTTTTGAGCAGTTTCTTTCCCTTTCACAATATCTATTGTATCTTTTAGATTTTATTTACTCTTTCAGGTTCTTACACTAGAAAGAATATACAATGCTTACACATGTGTGTTTTATTTATTTCACTTATTATTATGGCCTCTAGTTGCATCCATTTATCTATAAAGGCCTTGAGTTTATCTTTCTTTATAGCTCAGTAACATTCCATTGTATAAAAATACTGCGTCTTCTTTATCTGTTCCTCAGTTGACAGACATTTGTGTGGTTTCCAAGACCTAGCTATTACAAATTGTCCTGCTATAAACATGGGTGCACATATATTGCTGTGCTATGATGATTTAGTTATTCTGGAGAAACACCCAACAGGGAAATAGCTGGGTTGAATGGGCTTCTAATTCTACTTTACTGAGGAATCTCTAGACTGATTTCCAGTGGTTTCACCAGTCTACACTCCCATCCACAGTGGAGAAGGGTTCCTTTTTCCCCATAGCCCCTCCAGCATTTGTTATTGGTTGATTTCTTAATAATAGCCATTCTTTCTGGGGTGAGAGGGAATCTCTGTGCTGTTTTCATTTGTGTTTCTTGAACTAATGTTGTTGAACATTTTTACATGTATTTATTTGCCATTTGTATTTCTTTATCTGAGAAGTGTGTATTCATCTCAGATGCCTATTTTTGGATTGGGTCTTTGAATTTTGGGGGCCTTTTTCTAAATTCTTTATATGTTCCAGATCAAAGTCCTTTTCTGAGGGACAGTTGGTTAAAATTTTTTCCCAATTTGTAGGTTTTCTTTTTACTCTGCTGGTGATTTCTTTAGATGTGCAAAAGCTTTTCAATAAGATGAGATTCCAGTTGTTGATTCTTTGAGTTCATGCAGTTCACTTTTTGTTCATGAATTCTCTGCCTACACCTATGTCTTCAAGTACTGGGTCAAATAACCCTTAGTTATTGTGGGCTGATTAGCCCACAATCTCCCAAGTGAGTGGATGGCAAGGACTTAAATAAATGGGACAACTGAAATGATTTCAGGGCTCTAGGATGGTCTCACTCTCTTACAGCTTGGATATTCTCTGAGTTTAGACCAAGACTTCTCTGGGCAGCCCATATTTATTTGGTTTTCAAGAAGGTCAAGAAAATGTGGGAAGCTCACTGCAGGACCTTGGGAGAATTTTCCCAAATAATAAATTTTGTCAGTCAGGAGGACTACCTTATCTTTAGGGTGGTGCTTTTTTGTAGGAGTGTGGAGCCTGCAGCTGCAGCCTCCTTGTATTTAACTGGGGTTGGAGCAAATGTCCTCAGCTGTGGTCTTGTCTTGTCCTTTGAGGAGTCACAGCTTCACAGGACAGGCCTCAGGGTGACCAGTGACTCACAGAAGTTTACTTAATATGAGTCCACTGCCTATCTTCAGACAAGGTGCCTAAGCTTTAGACAACTCACAAGTAAACATGGAAAGCCAATTCGTTAATATTAAATCTGGCTCAGCAACTTTGTAGGGGTCTTTAACGTTCAAGCTTTTTACCTATTTTCTCTCCCGGTAGATTTAGTGTTTCTGTTTTAATATTTTGATCTGCGGTCCATTTTGACTTTAGTTTGGTTCGTGGTGATAGACATGGCGCTAGTTTTAGTCTTTGGCTTGTGGACAGGCAGTTTTCCCAGCAGCATTTATTAAAGAGGCTATCTTTCTTTCAGTGAACATGTCTGGCACTTTTGTTAAAGATAAGGTGGCTGAGTGTGTTTGTGGTTGTGACTGCTCCTTCCAGTCTGTTCCATTGGTTCTCAGGCCTGTTTTTATGTCAATACCATGCTCATTTTATCACAGTAATTTTGTAGTATAATTTCAAATCAGGGATTGTGATGCCACCTGACTTGTCTTTCTTGCCAAGGATTGCTCTTGTATTAGGAATGTGATTGAGAAATTATATATCCAGCAATTTTTGTCCATCTTGGAGAATAATTTCTTTTTCATTTGAGATATATTTGTCTCTACAATTCACCAAACATAAAATAGTTCACCATAAATTTTGTTCTCATTTTTACTGAATTATTTTGAAATATTATTGAGTGAAAACTTTTTTATTGTCACAACTTTAGTCTTCAAATTTCTCTTTCAATTTATTGGAGTGGTTGTCACAATGTGTGTGTGTGCATTTGTATTATTGTGAAGAGATTATTCCAAAAGTATTTGAAATATTTTTATGTAAGTTAATATGCTAACTTTTTAACTTGTCATTTATATAGACAAAAGAGGAATTTTGTAAAGACATTGTCTGAAGGAATTTTAGGTCCTGAAGCCTTAAGTTTACCTTACTGGTGTCATAGTAAAAGCCAGTGGTAAACATGACAAAGAACATCACTTCTGTGGTAACATGATATAAGACAATTCTTTAGATAAAACTCACTTTTTTCAATATACTAAATTATGAGTAATTTATGCACTAGTTCCATATAACTTCTCATATTGAACAATATAAATAAATATGTATTGAAATGATTCATTGGTTTATCCATCAATTTATTAACTACTATTCTGCATTTGCTTCATTTGCTTAATCTTATTGAGCATTTCCTGTTCTAGATTATGGGATTCTTGGTAATAGAGGAATATACCATGCACTGTGTTTCAACAGAACTCTCTTTTGTGGTAAATGGCAAAGTGAGGTAAACAATGAAGTTTCTATAAATGACAGCGAATGATGATAAAAAGTAAGGAAGCTTCAAAAGATCAAAAAGAAGTTTAACACTAAAGCTTGGAAGTAAATATACTCTGGTAATTCTGGTAGCTAGAAGGAAGCTAACTATTAAATGAAATAAAACACATTTTTCTGCTTTAATTGACTTAGCAACACATTGAAACTACTTTAAAAGTCTTTAAAACTTTTTTCAATATAATAATTGAACACAATGCTCTGCCATCATCACAGGAAGGTCCCTTGACCCTGGAAGGCTCTGTGAGCTGTCTGGGAGCTCAGAACGCCTTGCTTTGCACCCTGCTTCCATCATGGGAAAGACTCTTGGTTTCAGGAAACCTCAGTTTGATGTTTGGGAGCCCAACACCCAGCACTCTGCCTCCTACCACCATCACAAGAATGACCCCGAATCCACAGAAACCTAGGGAGATTAGAAAATGACAAAAAGAAGAAGCAAAATGCAGTCTCAGCCCTCCACCTCACCCAGAATAAGTCCAGGAAATATCAACAGGGAAGAACATGGAAGTCACACAACTGAAATTTCTGAAATGATAGTAACTGAAGTAAAAAACCAACTACATCAGGCTGTAGAGAAAACCAGATAAGAAATAATCACTCAGGTAAAAAAAGAAATGACAAACTTAATGAAAGAATTGTTTGGCATATCAAAGACGACACAGATAAAAAATAGAGGAGCACAGAAAAAGGATGGAAAATTGGAATGAACAGTATAGGAAAGAATTGGAATGCATGACACAGATTCAAAGAGATATTAAGGAAATTACAAATTCCACTGAAAGCTGGCAAAACTGCTTGAATGAATGGAAGATAGACTTTCAAATCTTGAAGACATCATTGCAGCTAGTGATCATGAAAGGAAAGAGCTCTTAAAAATAACAAGGGACCACCGAATAACAATTCAACAGCTGCAAGATGAGACAAAGAAAAACAACATAAGGCTGATGGATGTCAATGAAAGAGCAGGAGGAAACATGAATGATATAAAAAGATTATTTGCAGAAATAATAGCAGAAAATTTCCCAAGCATTGGAGAAGAACCTGACATACACTTAAGTGTGGCATATAGAACCCCTGTATATTGATGGCAGCCTGACCCGAGGCAACTTGCTACATGACTGTACTGTGTAAAAACCCTAGATGAAAAACCTCAGTGGCAACCCACTTTCAGTCCCCTTCCAGGTGTCCAAAGCTTTCCTCTGTAATAAAATTCTTTCTAAGGCGTCTTCGCTGACAAGAGCTCTGCCCAGATGGGGACATGCTTCCTGCAGCAGGAGGAGCCTGCTCAGCCTGACGAGGCTGGTGTACCCCCTTGCAGGACTTGCCTGGGCTGCTGCTGGCCCAGACTCTGCATCCCTTGCCCGCTATCTTCCTCTGGGCATCCCTGCATTCCTGCCCAAGGAGTCCCAGGCCAGCAGCGCCAGGGCTACCCCAAGGCCCCGCAACAAATCTTTACTCCTTATGCCCACTCCCAGAGGCTGACCCTTTATAGGGAACCATGCTGGTAAGCATGGGTTGTGGCTCCTCCCACTTGTGCAGGCAGATGAGCTTGGGGCAGTTAAATTGTTTAGGTGGCAGGCTCCTGTCCACCCTGCTTCCCTTCCCAGCCTGGCCAAACTGGCCTCCCATATACTCTTCCTAACAGTTTCCCTTGATGCAGTGGATGACATTGAGACATTTCTTCCAGTAGTCTTCCGTATTTTTTCCCCTGAGGACTCTTCAATGACATTAAAATGCCTGGTGAAGAGCACATTTGTGTAGAGCTTCTTGTGTTGCATATCACTTGCTGGTCCATGGGCTACAGAAGAAGTGTTATGCTGGGGGGGCCCTTAACCTGTGTAAAGTCATATTCAGCACTCATATCACCTACCAAGGCTGGAGCATCTTCCATAAGAGGCACTTTTCAGGCAGTTGATTGCCAGAAAGGTTTTTTTTTTTTGTCTTTTTAAG